TGGCCTCTGGCGAGCCACGGCCACACGCTCCATGCGGTACCTGCCTTCCAAGATCCAGTCCCCAGCTTCTGCCGTTCCAACCACCTGCTCTGCCTCCTCTTCCACCAGCTTGCGCTCCCACCAGCTCCTCTCCTGACCTCCTCCATTCCCACGCATACTTTATAGTTTTACTTTGTTGTTGACGACGACGACGAACAGACTCGCTACAAACTACCTCATCCTCTGCGTCCCGGGTTTCGGCACCACCTTGTTGCGGAATCTCAGCCATTCCGTTCCCCGGGACGCAGGACACAAAGGACAAGACTGGTTTGTTTTACATAATATATTTGGACATTACGGAAAGGTAGACTACTCTGACAGAGACGAACAAGAAGACTGACAAAAGGACTAAGGACTCTCGACTACAAAATCGCGCATGCTCATATCACACATGCACGCGACTAGACGAGACAGTTTGGGGAATGCCATTAAACAAGAAAACAACACATCATTTTATAACAGTGGAGTAGGCAGCCTGTAGCTGCGATGCAGCGATGGTCGTGAGCTGCGCAACTTCCTCACACCAGGTAGCGACCTTGGATTGGACAAATTGTTCTATGAACTCATCCGTACCCAAAGGTGCACCAAGGTGGCGGCATCCATCACACGTGACCTGCACACCGGTCCCCTCAAACGTCTCGATAGCAGCTGCGTACGTGGAGGGCTTGAACAGGAGGAGTGACTTCTGGGCGCTGCAGTGGTGGCCATACCCAGGACCGTGGCTGACAAGATTGTCCCACCATTGGCGAACAGGCGTTAGCTATCCACCGGCTGCAGCATCGTCCACATACCAGCCCTGTTTCGCACCAGGCACTGCAGCTTTCTTGATGAGCGGGAGGATTCCAAGCGCGTATACGGGCATGGCCAGAGGGTCACCCTGGGTGGTACCCTCGCACGATAGCAAGCACTCTCCATCAACGAATAGGCGGGATGGTTGGCGGTAGGTATTGATTACAGCTGGCGCTATAGAGGGACAGAGGTGACGGATGTTCCGTAAGCAGGCTCCACGGTTAAGCCGGTTGAAGGCGTTCGAAGCGTCGGCGAGCAATATGGCATCCGCATCCTCCTCACGGTAGACATCTTTCATGGCATGGATGGCAGCTTCAATGCCGCACCCCTGACCGGCACACAGTTGAAGGGTGCCCGCTGCATCTTGGATATCTCTCCTGCTCTGCAGGCACTGTTTGTTCGCAACTGCGGAGCAACTCGCCTTCAGCGCAGTCTGGGCCTGCAACAACCAATAGCCAGAAGCCGAGCGGCCAATGCCGACCGGCATCTCGCGGTTGCCTGTTATGGAACCATATACCTGACACGGTGCGAGCTAGGCCTGGGCGGATAATGCTAGCATTATAAGTAGCATTATAGTGTGCTAGCATTATAACACCACATTTCCACGAAAGTGGCATTATACTCAAATGGCCTTACTTCTGCGAAAACCAGGTTTTGTAAAAAGGTTGTGTCGCGGGGACGCTCGAGTGCAGTGAAGTGGAACCAAAGAGAACCTCGCTTGTTTGAAGAAGTAGCAGTCATGGCAGGAAGGGTTTCAGCAGTCAGGGAAATCAAAGGGCTTCCGGTAGAATATTCCCTGCTACACCTCTAGTCACAACGAAGAGTTTTTGAGCTGATCGAACGGATTCCATCTCCTACACTCAGGGATGACGAAATTTCTGCGCTAGCTGCTGCTTGGGGGAAATGGTGAAGAAATCGTCTCCAGTTAGAGTCGTGATGGCGATAGTGAGGAGAACCTGGACGACATCGATCCAGCCAATCGAAGTACGGAGATACTAGCTGTTTCTGGGCCTCACACAAAGGGAACACGCGCAGCAGAGCTCATACGTTTGCAGCAAGTTCACAAGGAAAAAGGCTTGAAGCGCAGTGTGAAAACTGTTTTGCATTGAAGTCCTTGGCGATGAAGTGCTACTGAATGCCAGGCGAATGAGCGAGCAGATCGAGAGGCCTCCACTCGAGACTTTCCTCGCTGGACAGCTAGCTGCAAGGGATTGTATGGAGCAATAGCAGCATACAATTAGCATTATGATCATGATTGTCTAGTATTTTCCATGCCGTCTACGTAGAACTACGAAACGTGCACAATACTGCCCAAACCAAGCCATTTCCCATACTTACTGCTGGTGAATTGCTGGCATTACAGAGGAACAGCAGCATTATAAGTAGCATTATGATACAGTTTTTCTGGCATTGCCATTAGCATTTTCCAGCAAAATAACTAACATTATCCGCCCAGGCCTAGTGCGAGCAATGGGCAACATCCCAGCATTCCGCCGAGCTGCCATTCCCTACACGGTGTAGACTGCTACACAGTTGGTCATACCATGGTATTCAGTACCCACGAACTTTGCAAAGCCGATAATATGATAATGTACGGTGGTGCATGCACCGATGGTACCACCACTTCGTAGACTGCCTCCCGTTCATTTCTGTGCTCCTGTCTCTATTCTCGTCAGCTGTGTACTTCAGCAGTTCAATTCTGTGCTCCAGTCCTCTTTATTCTCGTGAGCTGTGTACTTGTTTTGCAGTTTGTTTGGTTTATTTGAATTCGCACAGTAACCGTGTACTTCAGCTATTCTCTCCTCCCTCTTCTGAATTTGACTCTCCGCTGGCCTTCTCTCCTCCCATCCCCTTACATTGTATTGGGCCTCCGCAGCTTCCCCCCACCACTACCACCCCACGCGCACACTACATTGTCACATAGCACAACTCAACCATTCGCTACCCTGTTATTGAGCACTCCTGCTCGTTTGGTCTCGCGAATCCAAATAAAATCAATCAATCAATCTCTCCCAGTAACAGTGAGGATGGCTTTGCCGACAATGCGCCAGGCCACTTCGCCGACACCAATGGGTCGAACACCCGGCGACTTGTCAAGGGCTATTAGTCTGCATGCGACGAACGCCTCCAGTGTCGCTGGGTTGACGTATGTGGTAGCAATGCCACGAGCGCATGTCGCAAGCGAGTCACACAGCTCATCCGACGCTTCGGAGAACGCGGTGCACATGCGCCGCCATCCATCAGCGTCCTTGCCCGATGGCCCAGCCACGCCGTGGGTGTGCAGGGCGGCCCGGCGGATGACGTCACGGGTCAGGCTTGAGAATATCACACTGTGGGGCTGAACAGGTGGCTCACCCGTGAGCACTGAGCAGAGACTCTGCATCAGACGGCTCTCCTGCCGAATGTTTGCTGATAAGAACTACACAGTTTGATTCTTGTCAATAATCTTCGTAAATTTGACTACCGTAGAATCCCACGGATAAGCCCATGGGTACATTGCTGAAAACCGCTGTGCAAACAAAAACAAGCGATGGTTGTGTTGAAAATGTTGGTTTGCGTTGCGCAAACCGTAGTTAACCAGCACGCCACGGGCCGCGACCCCGCAGGGGGATATTCCCGCTAGATGACTTTAGGTGACCTACACGCGATGCGACGGGTGCGAAAACGGGAAATCCACAAATCGTAGCCATCTCGCTACCCACGCAACTGGCGCAACTGGGCCATCGCAGAAGTTGAGCTTGGCTCAATGTTTGTGATGTGACAAGCGATTTGGCGTACGATTTTGACCTTTTCTACAGCAATGTAGTTCAAAGGTTCAAGAGTTGCCTGTAAACTTGTTCAAGTTGTACCAAACCGTGCGAATACTAGGGCGACGTACCCACCTGCATTGAACTTCGCGACAAATTAGCAAGGCGTTGTCGCATCACTGATTTCTTCTATGAATGGTATATCGCGAGTTCGCATCCCACGCCTCCATCGCAGATTGCGTCGCATCGCCCATCGCATCGCAAAAAAGCTTCGGTTAATCCCGCTTTAGTCCTGGATGCGTTGACTCATGCCATACAGTGCTAGTGTCTCATTACCCTTGTACTATGGGATACCACATGACTCCTCACTGGAATCATACCTGTGACCAGGATACCTTGTACAGGCATTGACCAACTTCAACTAACTTGTCGTTTGTGACTGGGGTTTGGGTGGGGTGTGTTGTGTGGCTTGTGCTAAACAATGCTTTTTTGTGCTGGTTTTCAGTATGCCTTCAGTGTGCCATGCTGGCCAGGGTTATAATTGATCAGTGCGTATAATCGATATTGGCAGTCCTTATTATCCATGCAGTGCTTGCCTGTACAAACAGGTCCGGGGTAAAATGGAAAAAGCCGACCTTCAAAGCGGCTTGACGAAGTTGGTTGCATATTTAAAAGACAGCATTTCAGCTTTCAGGGAAGACGTCGCTTGCTTCTAGTGGGGTACTAGAGATAGCTCTATCGGGGGTGTCGGAAACCGTGCGGCCAAAATTATGGCCAAAGCCGCACCTTTGGCCGAACCGACAATCTTGTGTCGTTTGAACCATTTGAACCCCCAACCCCCATACATCACTCCCCCTGTCTAGTCCATGGATGCTTGGAGAAAGCATTTGTTAAGAAATCTGAAAAGTTTGACATTCTCTTCCAGCGTATAAGCAACACTATGCACACCACAATATGTGTTATGAAAACTACCAGTGCTCGCCGTATACTCCACTATGGGAAGCCAAGGTACTGGTAAAATTAGACAAAACATGTCCCCAACGATAGCTAACTTTGTGAAGATCTTGATAGTCAATTTGCTTTGTTCTCTTGTGTTTTCAATCCTAATACTATACAGAGAATCGGTGTCTTGTTGAAAGAGAACCTCGCACGCTAGCTGCTGTTAGATGGTGTGGACTTCAACGCATCATCATCGATATCTGCCAGTATCTGTGCTCACGTTTCATCAAGGTATGTTTCTGTTCTTACTGGGATGCTCTCCAATGAATACATCACAACTTACATGTGTGTATGTGTTTCATGTTAGTATATGTAACAGTTTTACACCTACTTTCACCACTCACACCTTATCACCTTGTGTCACACCTACTCTCATATATATAACCAGTATATTGAGTAATAAACGCTCTCTTCTTCCTTCGCTCAATGAAGAACTATTACATTGGTAGCAAGAGGATGGATCTCCATCCCCTGTGGTCGTTCGTGGGCCTAGTTCTGGCCTCGGCTATCAGCTCTATCGTCGTCAGCATCTGGATTGTCAACCGTCTCCGGAAGGAAGCTCTACCCTCTACTCAGTCGTCACCCCAGTGTGTTCCTGAGTCTCGTACTTCAGCTTCCCAGCCTGCACCGCGTGATCGCCCACACGTCAAGGAGCCGCCCGTGTTCACCGGAGATCCCACCACGTTTCGGGAATGGGCATTTGCCGTCGAGTTGGCCTTGGCTTCGTGGCGCTTCGCGGATCCTAAACGTGAAGCTGAGTTTGCAGCCAGTTATATCGCTGGAAATCCGCGTCTGTGGTTGATGACTTCCCTGGAAGCCGGCGCTGCATACCCAGACTGGTCGTCCTTGAAGAAGGCATTAGAGGCGGCTTACGGTGTGAAGTACGACCAAGAGAGAGCTCGGTGGAGTTTGTTCTCCCTCTCCCAGCGCGGCGCCTTAGGAGACTACATCGCAGAATTCTCGCGGCTCAGTTTTTTAATCACTGACCTGGATGGCCACTCTCGCGCAGTACTATTTGTCAGGGGCCTGGCCCCGGAGCTCAGGCGTGAAGTCATGAAGGAGCATCCTACAACCCTGCAGAAGGCGACAGAAGCAGCGCTCGCCGTATCGCAAGTGATGCCCTTCATTACGGTACGACAGCAGCAGGGGAACCTGGTACGTCGTCCACTGTCGGTTCCTGGTCCCCGTTCCAATCGCGAGGAAACGGAACGACGATGCTACATATGCCACCGACCTGGTCATCTGGCACGTCAATGCGACTCGAACCCAAACGCTGGACGCCAGTAAAAAGAGGGGTGCGATTACTGGCGTGTGAGAGAGCACCCAAGTTCACCGTGCCAGTCGCCAACAGGTTTAGTTGCCTGGAGACAGACGACGTGGAGACTGATGATGGCGACGACACCCTGGAGTCTCAAGGCCCACAGTGCGTGCGGAGCTACGTCAGCAACATTGCCCTGGATTCGCACGCGCGGGACCACGATCTCCTTGTTGTGAACGGAAAGGTGAACGGCCACCGAGCGACAATGTTAATCGACTGCGGGTCAACACACGATTTTATCTCGGAACGATTCGCAAGAAAACAAAAGATGAAAACGAAGATCGTGGAGGAGGTTCTAAAGGTGGCCTTGGCGGACGGATCAACCAGTTCGCGGCCGCTAGAGACCACCGACGCTCGCTTGGCCGTAGGAGGCTATGGCGATGACCAGCGCCTGACGGTCTTTCCCCTTGATCGATATGATGTGATCCTGGGAAAACCCTGGCTGACCCGGAATAACCCAGCTATCAACTACCGCACCAACGAGGTCAAACTGGGTGCCGAATCCCTAATCGCGGGTGAACCCACAGGCGACGCTGCTGTTCCCTCGGAGCTGATGTTCATCTCTGGCAAACAAGCGCGACATGCGCTACGGCAAGGCGCAGAGGGTTACCTGGCTTGGCTATCTTCCCCGACGACAGTTCGTCACATGAGCCTCGGAAGGAGGTACCTCCGGACAAGCAGCGTGACGTCGATGAGCTGCTGCACAGATTCTCGGACGTGTTCCCCGATGACCTCCCTTCACAGCTTCCCCCAGAAAGGTCGGTGGACCACGAGATTGAGGTCGAACACAACTCAACGCCACCATCCAGGGCAGCGTACCGACTATCCAAGCCCGAGATGGATGAACTGCACAAGCAGCTGACAGCCCTCCTGGGTAAGGGATTCATCGAGCCTAGTAAGTCCCCGTACGGAGCCCCGGTGTTCTTTGTTAAGAAGGCCGATGGGTCATTACGAATCGTTTGTGACTGGCGGGATCTAAACAAGATCACTATTAAAAACAAAGCCTGCCTTCCGAACATTGACGATCTGTTCGACACCGTCCAAGGGGCTCGCTACTTCACGAAATTAGACCTCCGTTCGGGATACAACCAAATCAGAATTAGTGAAAAAGATGTACCCAAAACGGCAATTAATACCCCCTTTGGACATTTCCAGTTTCGGGTAATGGGATTTGGTCTAACCAATGCGCCTGCCACATTCCAGGCCTTGATGAATTCAATACTGCAGCCCTATTTACGTGATTTCGTGGTCGTATTCCTTGATGATATCCTGATCTTCAGTAAAACATGGAGCGAGCATTTGAGGCATGTCAGCACTGTTTTGGAAACCTTGAGAGCCAACAAGTTATTCTGCAAACCCTCAAAGTGTGAATTTGGGTTGCGGGATGTCATCTTCCTAGGCCACAAGCTGAGTGGTTTATCTATCTCTCCCGACCCAAACAAAATTGCTGCTGTTAAGGAGTGGCCTGCGCCGTCCTCTATAAAGGAAGTGAGACAGTTCTTGGGTTTCGCGAACTATTTCAGACGGTTCATTGATCACTATTCCATGATTTCGAGACCTTTGGAGGAAATCACAGGGAAACACTCGCGTTTTGAGTGGAACAGCGCACGTCAGTCAGCATTTGAGAAGCTGCGGAAGGCCTTACTGAGTGCACCCGTATTGCGACTTGCCGATGTTAAAAAGCCATTCAGAGTAGAAACCGACGCTAGCGATTTCGCCATTGCTGGAGTGCTCCTGCAGCAAGGCGAACCAGGGAATCTCTGGCATCCAGTCGCTTATGCTAGCTGGAGACTGTCCTCCGCCGAGCGCAACTACACAGCCGGAGAAAGAGAAACCCTCGCTCTAGTCCAAACCCTGAAGTGTTGGCGAGTGTACCTCTTTGGGCATTTCGATGTGTTCACGGATAACATGGCCGTTGTACACCTGAGAACCAAACCTACCCTCACCAAAAGGGAGGCCCGTTGGGTAGAGTTACTGGCGGATTTCGACTTTAAGGTCCATCATAAACCTGGAAGGGACAATGCGGCTGCTGATGCCTTGTCTCGTCGTCCTGACCTTCAGCCGGGCGAGATCTCAGTAGTTCAAACAAAACTGACTGCTGCACAGTGTAACGCTCTTGAGTTTGCTCTGGCAATTGATGATCAGTTCTCGAAGACGGTAGCAGAAGCATATCAACACGATGCAGAGTTATGGCCTATCATCCAGAAGATGCGTCGTTCTCCGATTGACAACGTTCACCAGGCATACCTCTGGGATGGTGACGCCCATCATCTTTACTTGCGATCTTCCCCCAGTAACAGGTTATGCGTTCCCAAATGCGCACTTCGACTACAACTCTTGCAGGAGCACCATGACTGCATTGCCGCAGGTCATCCCGGCAGGGACAGAACGTATTTCCAGCTCGCTCGTCACTTCTATTGGCCGCGCATGGGGTTGGATGTTAAGAAATTTGTTAAATCGTGTGATGTCTGTCAGCGCGCTAAGGGTGCTCAATTAAGGTCTGGGCTTCTCCAGTCACTTCCTGTGCCCGAGCAACCCTGGGACCATATTACCATGGACTTCATCATGGGTTTACCCAAGTCACCCGAAGGTCATGATGCAATTTACACATTTGTAGATAGACTCACAAAATGTGTTCACCTAGTACCCACAACGGCAACCATAGATGCCGAAGGCAGTGCCAATTTGTATATTCAGCATGTTTTTCGTCTTCACGGTCTTAGCTCTTCTATAGTGTGTGACCGTGACCCACGATTTACGGCCCAGTTCTTCCAGGAAGTGTTTCGTTTGCTCGGTACTAAGTTGTCATTTTCCACGGCTAATCACCCTCAAACAGATGGACAGACAGAGCGAATGAACAGATTAATTGCCGATATTCTCAGGTGTTTTGTTAACCACAAGCAAGATAATTGGGCCGCACTATTACCCATATGTGAGTATGCCATCAACAATTCCCAGCAAGCATCCACTGGTAATTCTCCCTTTTTCTTGAATTATGGTTTTAACCCGAAGGTGCCCGCAGACTTCATTCTGGGAACGGGAGCGCGGAGAACTAGGCCAGACTGGATCCAAGCCAGATCTGATGCGCTTAAGAAAGCGCAGGATAGTATTGTCGCGGCTCAAGCCCGCCAGGCCCTGTATGCCGACAGGGGTAGGAATCCTAGCCGTCTCAAGGTGGGAGACCTGGCCCTAGTCTATAGAGACTTTCTGATATCACCGGAGGCCCGACAACAGCCATCGAGGAAGCTACAACCAAAATGGTTTGGGCCGTTCCGCGTCGTTCGGGAGGTGGGCTCGAACGCCTACGAATTGGAGCTGCCGTCCGTTTTCCGCTGTCATCCTGTATTCAACGTCACTGCTCTGCGACACTACGAACAGAACACCATTCCCAACAGACGCCAGCCAGTGCCCCCTCCGTTTATGGATCTGGACGGAAACACCCGCTATATGGTGGAGGCCATCCTGAAGCACAGAGATGACCGGGGTGAGCGCCAGTACTTGGTGCATTGGAAGGGTTACCCCGTTGGCGAGGCAACATGGGAGCCCATTAGTAACTTAGTTGACGAGTCAGGTAAAAACGTTGTCCAGCTGCGGAACTATCTCACTAGTCTACGCAAGTGATAGCATGGTCTGCAGCTCCTCCATGTTGTGGTTATTTGCGTTCAGTTCCTGACATTATTGAGTTTTTTTTAGTTACACAGGCTTCCGGTCCTGACAATTGGGTATTCTGTTGCTCCTTGCCATCTGCTGCATTGCTACACTATTATGATATTACTGTATTCCATGCTCTTGGGTTCCGTGATTAACAATTGGTTAAAGCCACGGAACTTTCCGTTGGGGAGGGGATGGTGTAACAGTTTTACACCTACTTTCACCACTCACACCTTATCACCTTGTGTCACACCTACTCTCATATATATAACCAGTATATTGAGTAATAAACGCTCTCTTCTTCCTTCGCTCAATGAAGAACTATTACAGTATACTTCACACAGAGTAAACAATGGTCAAACAAGCTGCCACGTCTACCCATTGCCAGTAAAGGGGAAGTATACCCTAAAATATATTGTTCGCTAGTTGTAGTCTTAGGGGTGCTGAGTCGAATGGCCTTGGTCCGAGGAAGCGGAGACGCTCCCTTCCTTCTTTTTTTTCACAATCGAGCTCGCGCATGTCCACCGAAACTGGGTGACTGCGCCCTACTAGATGGGGATTTGTATGCAAAATGTCCCTAAAAGCGCCATTTCGCTCTTGTAGAATCACGGATGATCGCGATCGGCCCATATGCTGTAGTCTTTCGGACCCTGAGTCGACTGTTTTTGGTCCGAAAAGGCTGCGAGGCAGCGTTCAGGCCTTATTTCCAATCGAACACGGGTGAGTAAGCGGTCACGCGCAAGTCGCCTGGTCAGCGTGCCTGCAGGCTACAACTTTCACACCAAGGTTCAACTCAAAGGCTCAAAGTTTCAACTCGAGTGACAGGAACGCTGTAAAAGATGTAGCCACGGTGACCAGGTGACTGGTGTACGCATGACGGCTTATTTACCCTTGTTCGATTCAGAATACTCCATCGCAGCCTCTTCGGACAAAAACCAGTCGACTCAGCATCCAAAATACTACAACATATGGACCAATCGCGGTCATTCAAGCTTTTATAAGAGCGAAACGGTGCATTTTACTGACATTTTGCTTACAAGTCCCCATCTAGTAGGGCGCAGTCAACCAGTATTGGTGGAAGTGCACGAGTTCGATTGGGAATAAAGAAGGAAGAGAGCGACTCAGCTTCCTCGGACCAAGGCCGTTCGACTCAGCACCCCGAAGATTAAAACTGGTGAAAGTTTGATTTTTGGGTATACTTCAACTTATCACATCTACCATCACGGTGGAAAGATTGTATTCTAAGATAATATATAATCAATTTTAGGGATTAGGGAAGTGTGTGTTGCACCCTACATGGGAGCTCGCGGTTTTCCTG